GGACAGGACCAGGCTGGTCCCTGTCTGCTGGGGCAGTGAGAGATGCCCGATGGAGAATCTCTTCCCAAAGGAAAGGGGAAAGCTGCATTCCAACACCAGCTCCCGAGAAGGGGAAAATTCACCAGCGAGAGCTGGGCGCATCTGATTTACCTCCCCTACAGCGCTGACCCTGGGCTGCAGCCGGACTCGCGAGAGCTCACAGATTCTGACACAAAATCTGCCGCCCGGGACACTCCCCCACCATCCATTGCTGCAGCCGCTGCCAGCCGTCAAGCTACACGCAGAATAAAATAACTGCAATAAGCCCCGTACAGAAATCAAATCCCTGCGTGCCTGAAAGGTGGCTGTGCTGGAACCAAAAGATAGTGGTCCGAGACATGGAGAAGGAGCCTATTCCTCCCGCCCGCCTCTCCCGATAAGCCAGCTGTGTATCCTGGGATGCTGAGGGGTCAAAAGATTCCCAACCTGCCCCTGCATTTATTTGCTCCTAGAATCATAGAATCATGAAGGTTGGACAAGCCCTCAAGGATCATCCAGTCCAGCCATCAACCCAACCCCACCCAACCCACTAACCCATGTCCCCAAGCACCACATCCACACGTTTCTTGACCCCCTCCAGGGATGGTGACTCCACCACTTCCCTGGGCAGCCTGTTCCAATGCCTCATCACTCTTTCAGTGAAGAAATTTTTTCTAATATCCAGCCTAAACCTCCCCTGGTGCAACTTGAGGCCATTTCCTCTTGTCCCATCACTTGTCACTTTAGAGCAGAGCCCAGCACCCCCCTCACTGCCCCCTCCTATGGAAACAATGCAGGCAAAGGAAACCTGCGCTGAGTGCGGAGAGAGTCCCAGGATTGTCACCTGCTGTAAGGAGCCAGGACCACTGATTACCAAGATGCAAGTACCCAAATGAAAACTAATTATGATTTTCATTCACAGCCAATGACAGCATAATATTGCACTGAACAACAGGAAAAATTATTCTCTCCCATTTTGCATCAAAGAGGGTGCAGTCGGGCTGCATATAATTGTGCTTAATGAATGAAAACAAACAAAGGGAACAGCTGTGATTTATTAATCCCATTACAAATAATAAGAGAAGTTCCTGAGAGCTGTGAACACACTTGTGATGCTTGGAGAGCGGGCAACAGCAAGACACCCAACAGATGCAAGGCTGCCGTTAGTGGGCACGACACCGACCTGTGCCCC